TGATAGGCCTGGTCCAAAAGATTCAAGACTAGCAAGGCTAAGAAACACCTACACATCTTGGCAAAACGTCACAAATGCATGTAACAAGCTTGTTCTCACAAGAGAAAAAGGTATGATATCAAACTGGTTGAGAGCAAAAAAAAAATCAAATGGTTCCTCATCAAGGAATCCAGAGCCCAATCTTTTTCAAGAAGTTAATCAAGCCTTCGCCCAGACTCACACGAGATTCACAGAAGCCATAAGGTTCTTTATACTAGGACATGAACTTCCCCTCATTGTATGGAACGTTTGTGATGTTGATAATTTGATGATGTTGTGGTCCATGTATCAAGATAAGCACTTACAAATTTTGGCGAGGCTGGCTCATGAGTTCAAATGGACAAACAAAGTAGTATACACCAAGCAGAAATTCTTAGTGACAATAAAGGAGGAGTTGGCTCCACATGGGTTCATGATCGAAGTATTAAAAGACAAAGACATCAAAGGGTTCATTAATAAAGACAAAGTCAAAATTTATAAGCACCCATCCATATACATGGACCACAGCTTCACCAGCATAATCTCTTGGCCGAGCAGGATCTCAAGGTCGAAGAGCTGAAAGACAAAGACAGAAAATTGTTAGTAATAAAAAAAAGATAGTTAGGTAGTTACTTAGCATATTTGTTTTAGTCTTTCTTTATCTGGACAGCAACTAAAAAAAAAGGTTGTTTTTGTTTTTCAGGTGCATGCGTGGGCGAGGTGGTGGAAGAAAAATATATTATAATAATTAAGACATTATTATTTGGTTTATTATTAAGTTATCATTTCAAGACTATTGGTTTGTAATATTTTATTGTTACTTTTATTTTTAAGCTATGATTTTTAGACAAAATGCTTTGTATTATTAATTAGGTTATGTAAAAACTTAATGTATTTATGTTGTGATTGCGGGACACTTACTATTACTTACGACTCATATTTGTTGGAGTATACACCAAAAATATTGGATGCATACAGGTGGGGGTGCCTCATGAGTTGTGAGCCGGATTTCATCAAAATGTTACATAGGCCTAGCTGAGTAAAAAAGTGAAGAAGACACTCACTTATTTGGTTAGTTTTCCTCTTTTGGGTTGGACCGCCTCTATCAATTAATGTGACAGCTTCGAGAAAAACAGTGCCCAATTATTAATCAAGATATGAAATATTTTGATCCATCGAGGCAAAAGCTAAGTAAAAAAGTGAAGAAAAGATGAGATAAGGTTTTTGTTGTATGTAAGGTAAGTTGACAGTGTTGAAATCGGTAGGGAATGAGAGTTTAAATAGATGAAGAGCTTTCGTTGTCTGACAGTTGTCGGAAGGAGACAAAAATAGGTTCTAGAACAAAAAGAGATAGTGATGTAACTCACTTATTTGTTTAGTTTTTCTCTTTCGGGTTGGTTCGCCTCTATCAATTAATGTGACATGTTCGGGAAAAACAGTGCTCAATTGATCAATATATGAAATATTTTGATCTATAGAGGGTGAAGTTGAGTAAAAAAGTGAAGAAAAGATGAGAGAAGGTTTTTGTTGTATGTGAGGTAAGTTGAGAGTTTTGAAATTGGGAGGGAATGAGATTTTAAATAGATGGAGAACTTTCACTTTCCAACAATTGTCAGCGGGAGACAAAAAAGGATTCTAGAACAAAAAAAGATAGTCATGTAACTTACTTATTTGTTTAGTTTTCCTCTTTCGAGTTAGACCACCTCTATCTATTAATGTGATATATTCGGAAAAAATAGTGCCTGATTATTGATCAAGATATGAAATATTTTTATCCGTGGGGAGAGAAGCTGAGTAAACAAAGTGAAAAAAAGATAAGAGAAGTTTGAGGTAAGTTGATAGTGTTGAAATCGAGCGGGAATGAGAGTTTAAATAGTTGGAGAGCTCTCATTATCTAACAGTTGTCGGAGGGAGACAAAAAAGGGTTATAGAACGAAAAGTAATAGTCAGGTAACTCACTTATTTGTTTAGGTTTCCTCTTTCGGGTTGGACCACCTCTATCCATTAATATGACAGGTTCGAAAAACAGTGCCCAATTATTGATCAAAATATGAAATATTTTGATCCATTGGGGGAGAAGCTAAGTAAAAAAGTGAAGAACAGATGAGAGAAGGTTTTTGTTGTATGTGAGGTAAGTTGAGAGTGTTGAAATAGAGAGGGAATGAGAGTTTTAATAGATGGAGAGCTTTCACTGTCCAACAGTTGTCGGAGGGTGATAAAAAAAGGGTTCTAGAACAAAAAGAGATAGTCAGGTAACTCGCTTAACATATTTGTTTAGTTTTCCTCTTCGGGTTAGACCATCTCTATCAGTTAATGTGGCAAGTTCTTGAAAAACAGTGGCCAATAATTGATCAAGATATGAAATATTTTGATCCATGGAGGGAGAAGCTGAGTAAAAAAGTGAAGAAAAGATGAGGGAAGGTTTTTGTTGTATGTGAGGTAAGTTGAGAATATTGAAATCGGGAGGGAATGAGAATTTAAATAAATGGCGAGGTTTCACTGTCCAACAGTCGTCGGAGGGGGACAAAAAAATGTTCTAGAACAAAAAGAGATAGTCATGTAACTCACATAGCATATTTGTTTAGTTTTCTTTTTTCGGGTCATCAACTAAGAAAAGGATCACCCAATCCGGTAATAATCTTGTGCTCAAAAGAAATGAGAGGAACAATATCAAACCTGTTAAGCACTAGATTATTACGGGCTTTATTGACCTTTTTCTCAAGAACAATATCAGACATATTTCAAGGCATATGGAAACCTCATACTACCTATGAATGGGATGGAGTTGTGGGATAGAACTAATATGCCACCATGTGTGCCTCCTTCAACCTCCAAACAACCTAGAAGGCTAAGAAAGGCTAGAAGGAATGAAGCAGGTGAGTGCAGCAAGAAGGCCAATGTTGTTACAAAAGTTCAAGACTCACTGAGGTGTGGCCAATGTGGAAGAAAGGGCCACAATAAAAGGACTTGTCATAGGAATTTCTCCCCAAAAACAAAAATAAAAAAGAGAAAGGCTGAGGATGAACATTTGTTGATTTTATTAATGTTAATGTTTTTGGAATATGATGCAACAAACAATTTATTATTTTTTGCCTCATCCCAGCAAACTACTCAAACAAGTGAAACTGGTCCCAGTACAACAAAAAGGCAAGCTAAGCCTACAAGATCTATGCAGAAAGGAAAATGGAAGAGAAAGGGCCCCATTGCAGCTGGAGGTTCAAATGTACCACGAAGTGATTCAGCTGCTCCAACCTCAACATTTGCCCCTCCTTCGAGTGGATCTGCCTCTCTTGCGACTAGATCTGCCCCTCATGCATCAACTGAAGCTTCAACTGACAATTCTTATTTATTGAGGAAACTACCTATGGTAGTGGGAGCATAAGACTTGAGCAAGGAATGATGATGGTCTTGCACACTTGTCTGTGTTGGTTCGGTTATTTTGTTATCACAAGACAGTTTTACCTTTATTAGCTGGTTGAATTAGGTTATTATGTTATTTTGGAAGACAAGTTGCCTTATTTTGGAAAGACAGCAGACAACTTGTGATATTTTGTAAGACAGGTTCTGTTTTTTTGGAAAACAGGTTATGTTATTTTGGAAGGTTGTAAATGTTATTCTGTGGCCTATTTTGTTGTAATGCTTCAAGTGGATATGTTATTATGTGGCCTATTTTTGTTGTACTGCTGCAAGTGGAAATGAATTTCTTCATATGTTGTATAAACAAGTTGTTGGAATGAACAAGTTATTGCATTATCAAAATGTCACATTGTATGCAGATTGCATAGCCATCATGCTCATTCCCATTACATAACCAAAATGCAAAATGTTCATTCCCATTACATAACCAAAAATACACTGTTTTCTATACAAAGGGCACAGTGCAGACCCTAACTTAAAGCACACTACATTACACCACAAGCACAGTACTTCCCATATCAAAAGCATAGTGCATCCTTAAAACACCCCATTTCATGCCAATTCCAAAGTCTTCAGCTTCAGTCCATTCGATCCACCATTCCCTCCGAAGAAGAACATTTCAATAACCATCCACAACACCACCAATGCTGCCCAAAGAACCTTCTCTCTGCTTCTAGCCTTTGCTAGTGAATTCTCCAACTTATCCCGCGATTTTAACAACCTCGGAATCACAACTTTAGACCTTTTACACATTTCCACATCATACAAAACCCAGAAATCACAACCTCCTTTACCCTGCACAAAATTGCACCTGCTACAATTCAAAATCTAATATTTTGCACCAAATTCAGTTTTTCACCTTTGCACACATAGCAAATCGCCTCCCATGATTCGAAATTGTCCACGAGGTTCGGATTGTCGCATTCTTACCACACCAACACATCATCATCTTATGCTCCATTTCTCCTTTGTTTTCTAGGTTAAGGAGCCAATACACTTGAATACGCTTTTTGGGTGGCTCACTTCTTCGAAATCGTAGATCTGAGCTCTCAGTTATGGAGATTTAGGATTTAGGTTAAACTGAGGTTGAGGATAAATTTGGGGCTTTTTCTTCTATCTCTAGCTTTGGCAACGCGTGCCCAATTTGGGCTCGATTTTCAGTTTTTTGTTTGTTTTTGGAATTGTTGAAACCCAAAACTGCCCTTCAACTGGCATGCGCGGAATGGTCAAAGTGTTAGTAGGGGTGGGTCCCACAGGTGCCAAGTCAGCATTTAACACTTGACTGTCTGGTCAACTAACCGAAGGATAAAATTGGACGATGTTGAAAACGTAAGGACGTAAATTGATAAAATTAATACTAAGGGGTCCAATTTAAGAATGACCCTAAACCAGTCGGGTGTCTTTTATCATTAGCCCTTAAATTTATTTCTTTTCCAGATGTTCATGTGAACCTCGCATGACATGATGTGCCTAGTGTCATAGTATGTCGGGTTCCCTTAAGCGTCGTAAACTATTTGGGCTTTTCTAACCAACTCGGTCATTTGGGTTGCATGACACTTTTGGACTTGACTAAAATTGAAGGGCAAACAACTTGTATTAAATAAGACTGGTATACACCCTGTTGCAAAGTTATCAAATATAACTGCTAAAGGCACGAGGTAGGGAAGAACATTTAGGACATGAAGAATAGTAAATATTCCTTCTTCTTTTTCGGCGTACTAGGAAGAGCCTCAGAGGGTTTTCCTTTAACATTACGGAAAAGGAATTAAAACAGAGATTTGTGGCACTATGAACTGAGTAGGTAAAAATACAACATCTATGAGTCAATCTCTAAGGGCTTGAAGTATTTGCCATCAATGAGATAAGTGCCAATTGAAAGCCGTACTGCCCACACATCCTTAGGCTTTCTTGACACAATTCTGCACCACCAAACAAACCAAGTCACACAAAACACACACACAATTAGTCGTACTTAACAATATTAATGCAAATTATTTAAACAAGGGATTCGGAAAGTGTACCTTCCAACATCACCGGGTTTGACCAAGCCGGAGTTGACCCTGAGGCATGGAACCGATGCCGCGGTTTTTATCATTCTTGGAGCCTCAACTACGATGATAGGAGAGCCTATCTCAAGCTTGGATTTCCTCCCCGCCGATCCGGCCCCTGCTGCCGGTGGCTCTGTCGATGCACATTTGACGCTCACTGCATTTGGACTTCGTCTGTAGGTGTTTGAGGTGTTGAATTGAAGGCTTGAATTGTCACGGAGCTTGGAGCATGTAATTGCAGTTGTGGAAGACAAGGATAATGCCATTATGGTCTCTGTCTAATATTTGATATTATGGGGATAATATTTATGTGGCTCTCTCTCTCTCTCTCTCTCTCTCTCTCTCTCTCTCTATATATACCACTACTATTCAACCACATGTAAATCTACATGACCAAGATATAATAAAAGTTAAGAGTAAAAAAGCAAACCTACGCAAACAAACAAGCGTAACATAATGGATCTGACCCCAAAAAAAATAAAAATAAAAAAATAAATAAAGCATAATGAAAAATGCACGTTGGTAGAAATCTTCTCTTGAGTTTCACTTATTCTGGAAACGTTGTACCCTCTCCTCGTATTTCGATAAGAAACCTTAATCACAAACAGGGCAGACCTGATGGGCAAACAGACCCTCAAACTGCCTTTGACAGCTTAAAAATAAATAGCAGCCTTTAAAATAAAAAAATAAAAAACATATCACCTTCACTTTGATTTAAGCTTGCCAAAGAAATCCACTGTTCCTTATTGAATATAGATGCTTCATAACAATGGAATTCAATTTATCCATAAATCGTTTTGGGATCAAGGAGCAACTGATTCTTGGGGAAAACAAAAATATTTCTCCCCAGCATCTATCTGTAGAAGAGTTAACGAAGCTTCAAAGTCCTTTTCATGTAAACTCTATTCTTTTCGCTTTTTTTTTGTTTTTTGTTTTTTCCAAAAAGTAGAGTGCCAATACATGATGGAAAATGGATAAATCAGACACATAACTATGCTGAACGAACAAAAAGAAGAAAAAGAAAAAAAAGTTAATAGGCGAGCAGCCAAAATTACACACTTTTTTCCTGCACCCTACCCAAGCATGAGGTCAAAATACAAGACCTGAAGACCCAACGAGGGGAGTACACCACAGCTACAATGAGTAACAAACCTTTACAAGCTGTACAAAATTCATTGTGGGTATTGCAGGAAAACAAGCAAAATTTTGTGGGAGCTAGCTCTTGGCTCTTCCTATTTACTTCTTCGAGTATGTGAGAAATGGATCTTGAGCAATTGCTAAAACATCTGGCCTCTCTGCTTGATTATATGTTAGACAGCGTCGAATAAAATCCTGCGAACAGAAATATGCGAAATGGTATCACAAGCTGCTCAGAATTCTCCTCAAATGTCCATCAATGAATAGGGAAAGCCGTGAGCACTATTATAGTATCTTGTTTAAGGGCAACTAAATGACATTAGCAATTCTATTGCACCTAACGAACTTGAGTTCAAATGCTATCATACATTCTTTCCAAAGAACCAACTATGTCCAAGCAAGAAAAATTAAACATGCTGCATGAACTAAAGGCATAACTCACCTTTGCCTCATTTGAGATGGCAGGTCTAGAAGGAAATTCAACTTTTCGTGCTTTAATAATTGTGTCCTCCCGTAGTATTCGTTCCTGGGTTTGATCATGCCCAAAAGGGCGTCTGCCAAATAGCATTTGGTATAGTAGAATACCTGCTGACCAAACATCAACCTGATTTCCAAGAGAGACCATGTCAAAAAATGTTGGTACCCAAGTTGAGAAGAATAAAGGTGAAGTGAAAGAGTTTGGCTTTCTAATAAGCTTTCTTTTCAAGTAAGAAGACTCTAGGGACACCAATCATATCAATGGTCTAGTAAAAGACTCCACTTACATGCTCTAGAGCAATATTGAGTCAAAAAAGAAAAGTTATCTATCAACAGAAATGCAGTAGAAATGCATTTGGCGTATTTGCTGCATATACATGCTGCCCAGCTATCACAAGGAGATGCACATTTACAAGAAGTCACCGACCTTTGATGATATAAGAGGTGTCTTGCTGAGCTCAAAGCATTCAGGAGGTAAATACCTGCAAATAACAAAGGAATTATCAAATATGCTGCTATTCAAACCAAATGTAGTCAAATGTCAAGGAGAAGAAGACAGAAGAAAACCACTGGAATACAGAACAAAGCTTTAAGTCAACTGAATTATGCTTTCCAGTCGTTCTTCCCAACTAAACTAGCATGACAGCTATCACGCACAAAAACTTCAAAGATTGTAGAGGTAAAAGTAGTTTTCACATGAACTTTATATATTAAATGGCACAACTAAAATAAGCAGGATGCACATCGATGATTTAAAATCAACAGAATCACATAAACATAAGTTCAAACATAAGGACGTCTCAAATGCCTAAGGGAAGCTGAACTTTTTTCCTCTAAAAGAAAATGTAATTCTGCACATGTGCATAAGCTTATTTGCATCACTTACCAATAAGTTCCAGCACCCTGGGATGTAAGTTCCATACCCTGGGATCCAACATCATTCTCCACTATCTTGCTAAGACCAAAATCAGTCACTTTTGCAACCCCGAGTTCATCGAATAGAACATTTCCAGGCTTCAAATCATAATGTATAATCTTCTGCGTTCTTTTGTTCAAGTATATAAGACCTTGAAATATCTGAAAGATGATGATCCTAGCTTCCCTCTCAGGCAACACAGGTGTTGCTTTAAGGACAGCATCAAGATCTTTCCCTGAGGGTAGAAAAGGAAATATTAATAAAACCAAAAAGAATATGAAGAAAAAATGAGACAAGAATTCTATACTGTTGCTAATTTTTAATATCTTCCTCTTAGAATAAAAGTAACTAATATCATTCAAAGGACAGAATGGTGAGAGTATAGTTTACCACTGCAATACTCTAATACAGTGCAGAATGTATTCTGATCAATCTCAAAAATGTCCCAAAGCCGGACAATGTGATGATGCACCAAGGTCTTGTGAATATTGTACTCCCGGATTGCATGCCGTATGTAACTCTGCTTCTTCTCTTCACTCCACTGAGCATTTAAACCATGAAGTTTACATGCAACGTATCTATGCTCTACCAAGTCAAATGCCTGCTGGAAAGTTCTTACTTCAAATCACTGCAAAAAGGTATTTCTTTACAATTGCCAACATTGGCAAATGAATTGTCTAGACCTTTACTTAAAATTGGTTGAAATGTTTATAATTATTAAACGACATTTCACAAAGTTCCGACCTTGTAAACTTCACTGAATCCCCCTTTGCCAAGAAGATTTAAGAGCGCAAATCTGTGGTTGAGAATCTGAAAATTGTTAAAACGGGAACCATCCTCATCTCGTATGCGTTTCATTTCACGTATAAGCCTTCCTTTCTCCAGTTCATAGCGGTCTCTTTCACGCAGGAGAACTTCCTCCTCCTATAGAAGTCCATAAGTTGAGAGACAAACAAATGAGAAAACAAGGACTTCCCAATAAAAATAAAAAGATGGAAAAAACTAAATTAGACAAACTAGAAAACTTACTCGTTTGATGCTGGCTAGACGGGATTTATAGATCTCATCCTGGACTAGAAATTCTTCTTGTACTCCAGTTTCAGCATCAACTCCATCTCCCTTATCTTTAGGAAACGAAAATCACAATTTAAAAAGTGGAAAATGACTACTCCACTTCACAAAGACTACAAATTGATGCAAGTTTGAGATATATTTTCAAGGACAATAGGATGACTAGTCTTTTTTTTTCTTTTTTCTTTTGTGTGTGTGTGTGGAGAGAGAGAGAGAGAGAGAGATAGGGAGATTCTCCAATATTTTAAGGGTTGGTCACATACTTCTAATTTTGGCCATTGGTTTGCACTCATTAAATGTGTTGGTAGTCTCTTAGATGCAATCCAACGGCCGAGATTAGAAGTAACCAATCCTTAACTTCAATATTTATTGGAGAATGTCCCTATATACATATATATATTTCAACATGTATAGCAACTTTATAGGACTCAAGAGAATGACAACTAAAGATATTAAACTTTGATAGATTTATTCTTCATACCAGGACAAAACAAGCCCTATGCAAAACAAGACAAACAGGAAATCAACAGAAAAAGAGAGAGAGAGAGAGAGAGAAGGAGTAAATCCACCAGACACAAAATAATAAAATTCCTGGATCATTGTATAAACCAAAAGTAACTGAAAAAGGAAATGTAATAAGAACAGTCGGTGCATAATAACTTTACCACTTTGCCTTTTCTTCAATGACTTCCGCTGCCGCTCAACAGCCTCTTTAGTTTCTAATAATTGTCTCTAGAAAATTAAAAAACCCATGTTAATAAATGCCATATGTTTATCTTCAACGGATCTAGAAACAAGTGCAAAGATCATTAATCAATTAAAAAGACAGAATTTTTAGCGATAAAAGAAAGTGTGGTCCTCTCTTTTTGGTGTGGAAGCTCTATAGATACACTCAAAAACAGTATAATAAAAACCTGGGAGACTAAGATTACATTGTTTGAGACTACAATGCCTTTTTAAAATGCTTACCCACCTTCAAAAATTTGGGTGGAAATTTGTGAATTGCATTACTAAGAGAAAGAAACTGAAGTCTCTGGATAATGAGTTTTAGAGAAACTTCCAATAAAGTGAACATAGTACATGTACAGAAATGCTACACCAAGTACATAACTGATATCTGAAAGCTCAAGATGTGCATAAAATGTGAGATGAAACTGACATCTAAACAAGGCTTTGAAAATTTTTTCAATAGGAAAAAGATTCTTTAATTAATAGTGTACTAAGAACCTAATATCTTGTAGAGCTCAATATGTAGTCCAGAATCCTAGAGTAAGTTGCTGGGGAAAATTCTAACGAGTCCTGGTTCTGGTTTATTCCACGAACCTTTTCAAAGTAGAAATATTCACTGTGACTAGACATAAAAATAATAAGCTGGCATGACAAACAAAGTTTAAAACAGAAATTTCTTATAAGAACATACAAGATGAGCATTGAGATCTTTCAAGGCCTGCCCATCTTCCCATGTCTCAGATATGACAGTTCCAGCTCTGCAATGAACAGAGAAAATGATTTGTATAATATTTTTAAAGAAAAATGGAATGACTAGGATGAGAGGATCCAATGAAATTTTTTAACCCAGAGATGAGGAAATCCCCCAAGCACTACCCTTTTGAAGCACTAAGTATAGAAGCTAAAAGAAATGCATACAATACCTGATTACACCCACATTTCCAAGCCTCAAAGAGTCCTGTCGTACCTTCAACCTTGCTTCCTGCCTTTCTG